TCGATTTCCTATCCTTTGGGAAAGATCTCCCCAAAGTCCAGTGTCATGAGCCAAAGGTCACAGCTTCAGTCAAAAGATCAAGAACAATGCGAAATCCGACTGTTCCACAGACTCAGACTGTTCAAACTGTGATTGACCAATTGCAGGTCAATGAAACAGCAGATCCACGAACGCGGGGGGATTTGGAGTTAGAGGATTTCCTTGAATTTCTAGACCTTGAAGAAATTTCGGGGTTACAGGAATTGCTCAAGGGTCCAAATGGCACCTCTCTACAAAGCAGTTCTACTTCAGACACGTCCACCTGTGGTCAGCCTGCTCCTCCTGTTGTACATGTGGATGTGGCAGAGAATGACATTGTTTCAGATGATGATGATAAGAAAGTTGAGGCGTGACAAGAAACTAGTATCGTATCACTGTCACAGATTCAGTTTTAAAAACATGTTTAGTATACTATACTGATAGACTAGACCAAACTGTACTATAGTGTACTGTAATCATATTAAAATTTGGTGTTTGCATTCAGCATCCTGCATCCTGCATCCCAGTATTTGAAGAAGCCTCCTATTGTTTGGGGTGGGGGTTAAAACCGCTCTGTTTCCTGTAGGGTGGTACAAATGCTGAATCTCTTCCAGACATGGTTGGAAGCGCGGATCTAGAGTTGGAGGGCATCTCAGGGGCAACATTGTCGAAGCATTTGAATCTGGTGCCCGCTGCAAGTGTAGAGACTCCAGCACCAGCAGTGGCTTCTTCTTCGTCGGCTTCCTTGCCAGCGCGCGACCAGAATGCCAGCTTCTTCGGCATGAGCTCCAATGCATGTTGGACTGATGGGACATCATCAGTCTATGTAGAATTCACATCTTGCATGTCAGGAGGGATCTTTGCTTACGTGTATGATTCCAGCACCAAAGGCATTTTGCTAGGCAATTTGAAGACTCCGCAAAAGCTAGAACAAAGTTCAAGCATACAGGCTGTGTGCAAAATCCACAAGCCATCAGCCTCTTGTAAGTGCTGGATTACGTGCGGCACTTCAGTACAGAAGGGACATGCCTTTCAGGAATTGTTGAAGTGGCTTGCTGCCGGCTGTGTGAGCAATAAGGGTGATCACATAGACAGCAGTGCCACAATTCGCGAGGCATTTGGTATGAGGGTCAGGAATCGTCGTTGATTCATGACGATTTGGAAGCCCTTTGGATGACAGTTTCAGGGTGTGCAAAAGCTTGGTTGCAAATGTCTTTGTGCATTTTCACACAGAGAGAGATAGATAGATAGATAGATAGATAGATAGATAGATAGATAGATAGATAAGACAGATAGATAGATAGATAGAGAGAGAGAGATGGAGAGAGAGAGAGAGAGATGGAGAGAGAGAGAGAGAGAGATAGATAGATAGATAGAGAGAGAGAGAGATGGAGAGAGAGAGAGAGATAGAGAGGGGGAGAGAGAGTGAGTGAGAGAGGGAAAGTTCTCAATCATTCCACACCTACAAACTACAAACTTGTCCGAAAGGATTATGTGCTTGAAGAATTATTGTAAATATTCTTGGCAACTCAGGATGTGGCAAAGGGTGTGGCAAACCGATTTGCCACAGCTTTTGCCACTGGATTTTTTCGTTGGAATCTTCGTTGCACAACCATGTGGCAAAACGATTTGCCACACGAAAAACCCTAGAATTTTTGTGTGGCAAAAGGTGTGGCAAATCGATTTGCCACAACTTTTGCCACTGGATTTGTTCGTTGGAATCTTCGTTGCGCAATCGTTGTCTTTCGTTGCAAACAATTGTTCAACGAATTGTCAACGAAAGAATCCAGTGGCAAAAGTTGTGGCAAATCGATTTGCCACACCTTTTGCCACACGAATATCCCAGGCTTTTTTCGTGTGGCAAATCGTTTTGCCACACGATTGCGTAACGAAAATTCCAACGAAAAATCCAGTGGCAAAAGTTGTGGCAAATTGATTTGCCACACCCTTTGCCACTCACTTTCCCACCACAACTAGTGGAATGTTTGAGCACAAGTGTTTGCAAGAGTTGGACAACTATGGAGAGCAGTACCCAACATCTGCCTTGAGAGTCTTTTGTTGTTGGGCGGCTAGGTGTGTCAGAACCACTTTGAAACTTTGATGTTTTGGATGCATTTGACTCGGAATTTTAGAAGATTGAAAAGACACAACTACTGACTGTAAAACTTAAATGCCAATGCTGATGCTTTCTTCCATATTGATGTTGCAACGTTCCAGGTTTTGTTTCTGGCAGGATGCAGTAGAATGTGAGAATGTCACAAGGGCCTTGCTTGGATGTCATTGTTGGAATTGCAGGATATTGCAGGCATTTGGCCCGTTTTCCCGTTGACCTGTGCGAGAAGACACCCCATTCCGCCATATTTGCATTTGCCATCATCATGAGTGCAGGCCCTTCTTCGATGAAAGCAGAGCCATGCTCTCCCCGTTCACTCCCTTCCAGTCCGGCTCCATGCACACCGAAACGCTTGGTGCGCAAATCGGCTACAACCTTTTCATCGGGATCGGAACCAGGGAGCAACACGGGTTTTGGTGGCAGTTCACCGGGTTCAGTTTCAAAGACTTCTTCTGCTTCGACCTTGAAGAAGACATTGGCATCATCTCGGTCTCCTTCTGGCTTCAAGACTCCTCCTGGCAAGTTCGCTCGCAGGGCTGGCTGCAGCAAGCAGAAGAAGACCCCTGCTTCCTCATCCAAGGTGAACCCTTCTTCCTCATCCAAGGCCAAAGTGATTTCTCCAATGAAGAAGAAGGCTGGCAAGCGTGTTGCCATGAAGGTTTTGAAAGCCATGAAATGCTTGAAGCAGCAGGGTATTGCCCAGACCAAGCGGCGGGCAGCAAAACAAGCTGTGAAGAAGAAGCACATGGACAAGGGTGAGCCCATGATGGTCCCACCAGAGTTCAAAACCCAGAAAGTGATGAAGACCATTTGGAAGCGTGGAAAGAGAGCCCCAATCATCAGTCACTTCATTCCCTCCGCCGGTGTGAATGTCTATGTTGAGGAGAAGTACTTCAAGGGCTTCAGGCCCGGTCGCAACATGGTGGTGTACCTGAGGGAGTGCATTGCCGAGATTGTGTGGGACTGGATGGAAATGAAGGAGTACAACAAGGGCTTCAAATGTTCTTGGAGCCCTTGCCTTGGAAGACGCTACCTGACAGATTTAGATAGGCTGAACTAAGTCTACTGAGAGTAAACAAAGACAAGATCGTCTTAGTCAAGAGTCATGACTCATGACCCATTGGCCCATAGGCCCATAGGCTATAGGCTCATAGGCTATACATAGGCCATAGGGCCGCCCAAGGCCATAGGCCATAGGCATAGGCTAGCATAGGCATAGGCATAGGCAAACAGGACATACAAGCAAGTTGCAAGATCATAAGCTGTACGAACTGAGGTTCTGCCATGATTCATTGGTAGCCATGGGCTGGGTCACTCACCGCACCAAGACCAACCGCATCCTGTGGACTCATCCAAACCCAGAATTGCTGCAGTTTCTGAGCAATGAGATGAGTGAGGATGCAAGTGATGAGGGTGGGCTGCGTGATGGCCCTGACCATGACCATGACGATTCTGATGATGAGGGAGATGAAAGTGAGAAGGGGCCCGTAGACAGCTGATCTGAATCCTGGTGCGCACAGGCTCTGCGACCTTTTCAACTTGGGTGTGTGGCAGTGTAGGGCTGATGGTAATTTATAGTACCTCCAAAGATTCACAGAGTCAATGTTTCTTTGTAGAATTGATGGTCTGACGGACGGCGGAATAGGCCCGAAAAGCCACTATCCACCACAGAATGGCAGAGCCCATATGTACTGATACTAGAGTCACCAGAGCAAACGCAGCAAAGTAGGTTGGAAAAAGGGTTCAGCATGGTTCAGCAAACACTGGTGAATTGAATGGTTGCTGTCACTTGATTGATATATAATAATATCATATCATCATATCTATATTTGCTGATTGTATTACAACATATAACATATATAGTATATAATATATAAGATACTTTAATATACTCTGTACAGCACACCGTACACTAGATTTGAGATGCGTTGGAATGCGTTGCCTTCCATGCGAATCAGAATCAGTAGTGGCTTAAACTGGAGTCGTGGTCATGAGTCATAAAGACATGACGTCATTCGCAGCGAATTTGCCTTTAGCTAGTCATTGTCACCATCTTTCATCCATTGCTGGTATCATTGCAAGATGTTGCAAGGCTGTGGAACAAAGCCATTTTGGCACTGCTCAGCCTTGAAACAGTAGAATCTCATCCGCTTTCAGGAGTCTGCCGGCTTGTGGCATTGCCATTGCGATGTGTACTTGTGTGTGCAAGTTCTGCAAGCGGACAAATGCTGCACCAAACCCATGGTTGCCTCCTGATCTACGTGAAAGTTCCGACAAGCCAACCCTTCAATTCAGGAGGGAGAGAGGAAAGGAGTGTTGCTCATGCAGTTCGTTGATTCGAAACCCACCCAAGGAAGCCTATGCCCATCCAAATCTGGAGCAGAAGCTGAAGGATGACCCTGAGTTCAAGAAGGAGTACATGGATGACTTGGAATCACTCGAGGAACGCAAGCGTGAAGAGGCATTGGCCCGTCATGTGAAGGGATCGAAAAAGAGAATTGAAGCTGAACACAAATCCGGCTTCAAACTGAAAATGATCATGGGCTACTTCTGGCCTGTGGATGTGCTGAAGCGAGAGCGGAAGGAAGTGCCCAAAAAATTGACGACCATCAATTTCAATGGCAAGACCTTACGCGGCACCATTCTTGATGCTAGTCATGGCACACCTATTGGTGTTGTGGAGATGGAGAGCTATGATTCAAAAGGGACAGCCAAGGTTTCTTGAATGATTTGACACTTCTTTTGGGCTGGTTACCAGAGTCTCTGGTTTTACATGTTTTTACAGACTGTCCTCCCAAAAAATAAGTTTGGTCTAGTGGCTGATGCTTCTTCCCATCTTTAGCTTCGCTCAAGACCAAATTAAATTCAGGTTCAAACGATTCAGAATGATGACCCGGATGATCCAGAGCAGTTGAATGATGCTTGGACAAAATGCCAAGAACGTCTCAGTGTCAAATCGATCACAACAGATGATCGGGGCTATGTGAGCATGTCTTGGTCTTCGACAGGGTCAGCCTCTGATGGAATGTCTATGTTGGACGACATTTGGGAGACGAGCCTTCCTGCTTCCAGACCTGGCAAGGCCAAAAGAGGCCAGGCTTCCATCGAGGATGGCCCGAATAGTCCTGAGAGTCGCAAGAGGTCTCGTGGAAACCAGTCCAACTGTAGCGAGAATACATCTCAGAATGACAATCCGCGTAAGAGGAATCTTCAAACTGCACAGGCATCACTGGTGAGATCTTTGAATGGCTGCGACACACTCATCTTGGAAGCAACGCAGGTGCTTGAGATGGTGGCCGAAGATGAGACTGCAATGTCAGTAGGAGTTCTCCAAGTCAACAAGATTGTGGAAAAGATGGAAGCCAAATTGACTCAGCAGTCCATCGAGGTGCTCACACAGGGCTGGCAAGAAGGACAGCCTGAGAATCGAGGAACCAAGTGTGTAGGCAAGATGAAGGACATGCTTTCTTCTCTGAAGTCGGTTTTGGTTCTGGTGCAATCCTTGCAAGCCAAAAGCGGAACTGAGGACCAGGGTTGAGGGTTTGGGACTCGATTAAAGTTGAAACTCTGGTTACTACTGTAGTTCAAGGAACTAGACCATGGATCTGGACCATAGACTATGGACTAGACTTTTATATAACTAACAAATACAAATTACATAACTATCTATATTACAACATATATATATATAATATATATAATATATAATATATATTTTAAAAACAACTATATTTTAAATACTGTAGTGACTATATACCGTACCGATACCAGACTACGCAGAATTTGGATATTCATATGAGCGACATGACATAAGATGTCCACGCACAGTACTCATGGACTCCGGGAGGACCATCATCCTGACAAGCTGGAAGATGCGCTTTCCAAGGTGGTTTCGCAGGGAGTGAAAGTGTCCCAAGTCATTTGGCATTCCATCTTCGCGCGAAAAACATCCCTTGCCGTTGAAGCCGGAGAGTGGGAAACGTGGCTTATTGAAATGGCAAGCACTCCGTCCGAGATTGACAAAGCAGAGTTGGTGTCCATTCGAAAGACTTGTTGTCTCAAAGCCATCTCCCACATCATGGAAGCTTCTCCCGACACTAGACATCAATGCCAGGAAGCTTGGGCAGCAGCAGGAGGTTTGATTGGCAAGATGCTGGGCACCGACTGGTGCACAAGCGATGTCATGGGGGAGCCTTTCTGTGGAGAATTGAAGGCTGTGCAGAGCTTGTTGACTGTGGGTGAGAAAATGCACTACTCCTCCCAAACAGACATTGGGGATGCCGAGGCATCCCTACGCAAGCTCCAAACGAAGAACAACAACATGGTCTTCGGGAAAATTCTGACAGCTTCAGCAGCAGGGGCTCAACTTGCAGCTGCCTGCTCAGAGGTCACAGCTGCCCTGAAGGAGTGCGCAGGTTGGAAAGATGACCTTGATGCTGCAATGGACGCGTTCTCGACCTTGCCATCACCATTGGGGCAAACTATGGATTTCCTTTCCAACCAGTTTGAGGTGACCATACCACAGGGTGCCAAGATTGCAGAGGTGACTAGCAAACTTGGGACTTTGTTGCAGAAGAGCACCGACAAGTTTCAGGCGGACAACAAAGATGCGATGGACAAGTTAAAGGAGCTACAATCCAATTTGTTCTTCAAGCTCAAGACTGCTCTATCCATGAGATTGTTTTCCAAGGTGCCAACACTTGCGGATGCGTTTGCTTGGTGCACTTCTGGGTGCTCCTCAAATGATGAAGAGGCAAAGAACCACACCAATGCACTGGTCTTAGCCAAGGCTGCTGTGGTGGTGAAATTTCAGTTTTCCAAGTTCATCGGGGCAGATCACGCAACTGCTTTGGGAGAATATATGGCTGAATATGGAAGATTCATCACGGCTATGACTACATTCTCCAAATGGATTTTGGACGCCAACCAGGCAGAGAAAGCAGAGGACTTGTCTGTGTTCCAGGCTGAGGCACTCATTGACATGGTGAAGTATTTGCTTGATGCTACAGCGGGCCAGTCGTCTGATATGAAGCACTTTGACATGACCCAAATTCACCCAAATGCTCCTCAGTGGAAAAAGGATGTGAAAGCGTGGCTTGCGTCTTGGAGCCAATCCCGGATCGAGCGCAAGCTTGCTTCTTGCCAAGACTTTGTGGGTGCTGTTTTGCAGGAAGACTTTGACCCTGAGAAGCTATGTGTGGAGCATGTCACCGGTGCTGTGGATGCAGAAGAGGATCATTCGACAGTCAAAGCTGTGTATCAGGAGTTTTCCAGTGTGTCATGCACGCTTTGCTTCGACGAGACCATGCTGAAAGAGTTCAAATTTGGTGAGGTTATGGTGGACATGCAAACTTTGTGTGCAGCTAGCATCTTTCTTCCAGCTGCTCGCTACACCACAGCGCTACTCCAGTCAGCTGCAAGGGTTTCTTTGAGGAAGCCTATAGCAAAGACATTCGGAGAAGCGACCACCATTGACCAGCTAAAGCAACCATCAGAAAGCAGAGCAGAGAGTGCAAAAGGCTTTCTCAATCAGACCACCAAATGGTTGGAGGCGAGCATACTGGTCAGTCAGAGTCATAGTCTGAGTCATAGTCATACTGTCGTACCATACAAACAGCATCAAACAGCCCACACAGCGCACAAATGCAAACAGGATCATACACTTGGCATATTTGGTCTACCTTTCTTTGGGGAGAAAAGGCTGTAGGCTTTGGGCTATTAGGCTGATAGGCCAGGCTGTGGCTATAGCTATTGGCAATGGCTATATATGACTATATGATATATGATTATATGCTAGAGGCTATAGGCTATATAGGCTATAGGCTATATAGGCTATACTATAGACTATAGGCTAATTGGCAATGCCATCAGAACACAGCACAGCGTATGCACGTGTTGTCTCTTGCGCTGATCAGGTAGTTGGGCATATGCGTGTCCTGCTTCATTCGGTTCAAGGCAAAAAGATTGGTATCATTAAGGAGAAGTTTGCCAAAACCGTTGAGTTTGCCGAGGGCAAGATCAAATCCTGCATGGGCATTTTCGTGGAGGAAATGTCTGCAGTGACTGATACGCTTCTTCAATCACTTCAGAATGATCCCCTTTCCAAGGTCAGCAGTGCCAAAGATTTCCGTATACCGTATACCGTTTTAGTTTTCCTGTTGTACCGCCTATGCCATACATAACATATCATTTACTGTATGTATTTCATGTTATATTGATTATCTTATTGTATAGCATAGATAATCTGATATTCTAATATATCTCCCTGTGCGCTGGACACAACATTCCAATAGACAACAAAGATCCCTCCAAAGCTTTGGTATGAAACAGGTTTCAACCATGGTTTTCAGTTTTCCAAACTTTAATGGTTAGGTCCGTAGGCCATAGATGTTTTTTTTGGTGAAGGAAGTTTGTGCAGGGATTGATATGTTTCTTCAATCACTTCAGGCTGTTTACAGCAAACACCACATGCGACAATCCAACAGCCAACAACAATCCTTTCAAAGCATTGGTATGACTACGCAGATTCGTCTAATGAATGTTTACCTATGGTTTCCTTTCTGACCACTGCCCAGGTAGTGGCTCCGGAGTTAAACGCAGCGGATGCAACCGTCGAATGCCTGAAGCAGAAATACGATGCCGTGGGCAGCGCGCAGGAAAGCCAAAAGTTCTACTACATGTTCAACAAGACGAGAGCTTTGCGAAAGGCGGTTGAAAAGTTCTTGGCTGAGGCTGAGATTTTGTTTGGCAAGCCAAGTGCCAAGTCCCTTTGTCCCAATGTCCCTGAGGCAATCATTGATTGCAAAAAAACAGCTGGGGCAAACAGAGTCGCAAGATGCTCGAAGAGCCATTGCGAATCTTACCGCATTAACTTCCTTGTTTCGAACATTGCAGCCCGGTGAAACCCGCAATGTTTTGTCGAACAAAGTGCTCAAGGGATTCATTTGTGAGAGTTTGAAGCCATCGGTAGGGCTTTTGGAGGCGTTAGCTAAGCATGCTACCCCTCAGCTCTACCAGGAGTTTATTTCGTTCTATGGCAAGGTTCCGACTGCCAACAGTAGTGCCTGAAATTGAGATGTGAGATTCATTTGGATTCATTTATTTCCATTTTTGTGTGAGTGCATAGTTCTGGTATGTGTTTCCTGTTTGTTTGCTGTGGCATTGAAGGCGCAGTCATCTTAAAGCATCGTGAAGCTAGCGCTAAGCGTTTTGCTGTCAACATGTGCAGCATGTGGGTACCTTGGCGTCGCTTACACAGACATCTTAGGCAGTGAGGAAAATGTGTCTCCCAGCACGCCTTCACTTGCAACACTTCACAACATAGAACACATGTAACAAACATAGGTCACATATGCTTTTCCACTCAACGAAATGTTCAACGAATTTCCAATGATGCGTTTGGTGTAGCAAAATGGATTGCCACACCTTTTGCCACAACACAGTCAACGAAATGCCTAACGAATGTTCAACGAAGCATTCTTGTGGCAAATTGATGTGGCAACACCTGTTGCCACAAAGATGCTTGACGAAACTTCAACGATACAATCAACGAAGCAAAACTTGCCCCAGCAACGTTATACCAACCCTTCTGCAAATCATGTAGAGATACATCACAAGGAATATATAATATATTTGTTCATATGAAGAGAGCAGGAACAGATTAGATATATATATATATATATATGTGTTTATAGGGCCAGACTCAAAGGCAACTGGGCACTATATAGATGCTGATAAGCCACAAAACTATACATGTCAAATGACTTAATGGAATTCTAAAAATAGCAAAAAAGTGCACTCTCACAGCCTGCCACTCTCTTTTTTTTTGGTGCAAATGTACCGCGTAGCCACCGCGAGGCCTACGTTTGCAGTTTATAGGTTTTGTAGCTTTGCGCAGCCTTCTTGTAGGGGAACTATTACGCGTAGGCACTCCTTAGCCTACCTGTGCAGTAAAAGCGACCTCGCGTAGCCTCTCGCGGAGTTCCCCTTACCGCGTATCCAGCGCGTAGTACTGTATACCCTTCAGCAAAAACGGCCTCGCGTAGCCTCCGCGAAGGCGATTTCAGAAATCAAAAACACTGCTCAACCAAAGGTTCGAAAACAAAAGCCCGGGCTTTCAAGATCTCCTCAATACCTCGGTCAACTAATAGCAATGGCCTCCAACCTAATAGTGATGGCATCCAACCTAAAGTCTGGGCCTGTGCTTTCAGAAAACCTCGATACCTCGATCAATCAACATGCCAAGCGATGGGCCATATTTCTGGCCAATAGGGATGCCCTGTGAGCGATCCCATAATATGATTCTCTGGGGTGTGATTGGGGTCTTGACCGCACGCGCACTTTACAGATCTTTCTGAATTTCTCATCTCCATTCCCGGCATCTCTAGCGGCCACTCCCGGCCGCTCCTACTCCGTCGCCAAGGTGAGGGCTGTTTTTTTCGAGACTCTTGCGCTTCAGCAGCATCAAAGACGCCTCAAAAAGCACCAGCGATGAGCGATCAACACACAACTGAGCTGGGAAACAAAGGGGAGGAAACA